AAATATATATATATATATATATATATATATATATATATATATAATGATAACTTTACAAAATTAAATTTATTATTTGATGAAATTATGTTTAAGGGCCAAATATAAAAAAGAACCAAGAGAGTAGATTAGGCTTAAAGAAAAGATCCAAGCTCTTATTGAGCTTTGAATTAATTTTAGTAGTCCATTTTTTCTTCATTGTAAATATTTTCTTAATTTTTATATTGTATTTTTTGAGTCAAATAGTGTAAGAATTTATTTTCTTGTAATTTTCTTTTTAGGAGTATATTTAGTATTTTAGGGGGATATAACTAGTATTTGAAAAATGTCTTTATTGGACTTGTTTGAACCAAGAGAGAGTGGAGGGCATTTCTCCTTAAATGGGACGTCCAAAATGGTCCTCCACACTCTCTCATTGGTCCACACATAATTAACAAATCACATGTTTCACACACTAGTCACATTTTTTGCATGCTTGCCTCTATACTCCATTTTCTACTAACACACCCTTAATCACACCTTTTGTACCTTGTCATATGATAAACTCTTATTTTCTCTTTTAAATATAGGATGTTGACAATTTTAGGAGGGAAAATTCAAATTTGAAATAGAATTAGTTGACTTGAGTACAAGTTAACGTAACTTTGGTTAGCTTACACTATAAACTACCAAACTCTATATATACTCATATCCACCCTCCTAGACATCACTTTGTGTACATTATGATAATTGAGTTTCCAAAATTCTCTATTCAAAGTCTTGTTTCTCCTTGGAAAATTTTCTCCTTATGAATTTTATCAAGGAATTCCTCCTTGTGACAAGTTCAACATCTCTTGTTTATCTTTAACTTGGAAGTGGGGCACCAACCACTCTCTCTTCCTCTTCCATATTTTTTTTATTTCTTTGATATTTGGAGCCATGGATGAAGCTCTAAGAAGTTAGGAGAAGTTATGGAGAATTCATCACTTCTCTCCTTAAAATTTTCCATCATTTTGGTATCAAAAGCCTTGGTTTCATCCATTAAGGTTTGTTCTATAAATTTTCGTGTTGTTCATATATTTTTAGTTGTCTTGTGAGTTTATGTTGAGTAGATATAGTTTTTGTATGCTAATTCTATGCATCTATATTTTGTCTTGAAAATTTTGGTTCAAAAATTTTTAGATTTAGGATTCTATGAACCAAATATTTGTGGATGCTTTTAGGATTCATGTTCTAGTTTTATTTTTAAAATCTATGCAAAAGCATGTTGTCTTAGAGTTATGTTTAGTTCTTACTTGTCAACATTTCTAGTTTATTCCATTTTTGTTTTGAAATCTTAAAAATGTAGATATACATGTGCTAGCTGAATATGTTTATGGGCTTTTAGGTTTATAATCCTTGAGTTCATACATATTATTAGATCATTAACATGTTCTAGTAGAGTTAGGTTTCCTCTTACTTAGTAGTTTTCACTATTTCTTGTTTCTTCTTACTTTTCGTAACTCAAATTGAATCAATTTTGGTGAAACACCGAAAACAGTTATAGCTGTTATATATGTGCATTGGACTTGTTCTTTTGAAGGTCAAAAAAAATTCTAAAGAGAAGCAAAAGTGAAAGCAAGTGTTACCTCGAAATTTATCACCAAATTTTGGTTCATTTTTGAGTTTATACTTCTAAATCTTTTTGAAAATCTGAGTTTCTCTTCTAGGAACATTTTTGAAAAAAATTTACAACAATTAAAACAAAAGAAAAGAGACAAAAATTTCTTCAAAGGAAAAGAAAAACAAAAGTGTAGAAGAAATAGAAAAGAAAATACAAGAAAAGAGAAAAATATTTTGTGTGAAAATTTATGTATATATAGACACACACATACATACATACATACATGGAGTATTTGTGAAAAGGAAAATTCAAATATGAATTTGTCACTTTTCATTTAACTTGAATTAATTTGGAAGTGGACTTGAGTCTCTATTGATTTTGTGGTCCAATTATAGAACCTATCTAAGGCACCTTTAAATTCTAACTTCCAAATATTGACTTAATTTTAGTTTTTCTATTTTATTGGCATTCTTTGAGTTTTTATAATATCAATTCCTTTAGAGTTTAACTAATTTTTAATTGTGCATTTCTTAAATTGTCTCTTAAGCCTTCTTTAGTATTGTATTTGTGTTAATCTTTCACGTGAAGAAAAATCAATAAGAACCTTGCCATAAGGTAACAACTTTCACTACAAGAAATGTTACATATAGTGACATACAAGAAGTATCACTATAGGTACAATATGTGTAGGTATATATCTATTTGACATATAGTTACATACAAGTTTAGTGTTGATTTTGAATGAGATTTAACAACATATTCGTATGTCACTATAGCTTATACCCACACTTTTTAACAATATACTAACATATATTATATTTATTATGTGGGTAAAAGTAGTTTTTAGTTACACGTATTGTGTCACTATAGGGTGTATGTCACTATATTATAATTTTCTTGTAATGTTGGAATGTTGATGAAGGACTAGGAGGATTTACTCCTAGGTTAAGACTTTCTTTGAAGAAACTTGAAGATTAAATATCAAGAGAGAAGATATAAAGACTAGAAGACTTCTTACACTAATGAGTTTGTCAATTGTGTAGGAGAAGGCTTGGAGACTACAATGCTTGTTTTCATTTCATAGTTTTAATTTATTTTAATTCTTTTCTTGTAAAGGCTTTTCCACTTGGAAGCGGTTTTGATAGGTTTTAAG